GATATTCCTGCAATTAAATATATTCAATAAATCCGTTTATAGATTTTGATGTCAAAATAAGTTCAGAAAACCTAGGACGATTATGCGAATTTCCGTTCCATTTCGGTTCCACAAATTCAGCATTCAACGATCACTCAGCTACCGCATGCAAAATCGCGAACAGTTTGTGTGTGTGTGTGTGTGTGTGTGTGTGTGTGTGTGTGTGTAGAGGTTGCTTGCTGTTTGCCGAGCGCCAAACATTCGGTCTTGTCAGTACTCGCAGCATGTCGGTTATTTGGAATATCAAAGGAAGCCAACATTTGCCGACTTCGGCTTCTTGAGATTAAGTAAGCATTCGCTGGCTTATCGCCGAATGCCGAATGTGTGGAACCGCCTTTAAATCCGTTTCAATAATAGAAATCTAAAACCTTATGTCAATAAGAGATAATGTAGAGCAGGAAGAACAGGTATATTTGAAAAGTACAATGATACGTCTTTGAGGCAATTACGTGATTAATACCCCAAAATTCGTATTTTAGTTGGAAGATGACTTGAAGGAGACCGCACTATTAAACTGTTCTCACCACTGCTGCTGTGTCTACTACGATTAGCATTGTCATGCTATTCTGGATACAAGTAATTTTTTACTGTATTGCATAATTATATTACTTTTATAAATTGTATTTATTAATTAATTTAATTACAAAAAAGTATAGTACAAAGTACTTTAAGAATTGTCTATCTTCAGGTAATGAGTTTTTGACATAAGGTGGTCCTCTGATTATCGTAATCCACGCGAATTATGTTGCTTCTTTAAAATTATCTTCCAACTTTATGACGCATTGGTTTCTCTACATTCCCTGAAAGGTCTGCCCTTCAGAGGTGTCGTGAAATCTCATCGCTGTTGTTTTTCTGAAGTACACCTGAAATGAATTGGGTCACAGGGCTACGTGTTTATTACAGAACTTCGGGTTTATTACTTCGGTGGGAAGTTTTCTGGTCGTCGTAAAGGGAATGCGATATTGTATTATGCAAAATATTCGTGGTCATTGTCGGGAAGAGGGGGTGGTCGTTTTAAAGTGGGTACAAATGCATTGATTTTATGAAATAATTATTCCTTACATAGAAAATTCGTCTCGAAAGGGGTCTTCATAAACAGGTGGTCTTGTCGAGAGGTTTCAGTGAATAGGTTTTGTAGAAGTGTAAGTTTTGTAGGATATGAATGATCAAACTCTGCGAGGAAACGAGTTTCCGATAGCTACTTGGCGGTCCGGGACACGCCGCGCGAGACACCTTTCGACCGCCATTCTGCGACCTTCCTCAAGGCGAAATGCCTTTTCTAAACGTTGGGACCTGGGCTTTGGATGCGGCCTCTCCCTGCCAGCCAAGTAGCTGAAGACTCAGGCCGCGGAAGCCTTCGCTCTCTCAACGAGGTTTCGAGTTCTAAGCCGGGAGAGATGGCTCAGGGCATCAACTGATGTCACTGCAGTTCCTCTGAACTGGCAGTCCTAGGTTCGAGTCCCGACAGTGGCACGATTTTCGATATTAGCTTCTCAGCTAGGTCGAATTCAGGCGCTGTCTGGAGGAGAATTCTAGCGGCTGGATGTTCTGATGAGTAGTAGTCCGGTCAACACCAGGCGAATGCCGGAGCAGTACCCTAACAGACGAGCCACACCCCGCGCAGCGATCTTTCCTACCTCTTCCTTGTCCTATTCTCTCCCTTTACACACACACACTACGCAAGCACACCTGCTGAGAGACAGGTCGAGAGCTTAAGTATTGTCCTGTTTGGGGCGGTGCTCCGCTGGTGGGATACACCTGATTGAGGAAAACCCGGGTAGCAGACGGTAGGTCGGCGCCGGATCTCGCCGTACAGCGAGAGAAAGATCACCGCCACCTCCCGAGCAAAAAAATGCACTACACTCACAGGACTAATAACTCTAGCAGTGGTCGTGCCCGGAATCACTAAAACAATCAATCAAATCGTATTGTAATTGTTTTCTCAGTTGCGAATGTCCTTTCCCCCTTCGATTCAACTGGTCGAGGCGCGCCCGGTGGCGGGGCGGGTGCGGGGCGGGCTCCGCCGTGCGCCAATGCGCGGCCAGCCCCAGCGCCTGCCCCGCCCCCCACGCCCCACGCCGCGCGGCGCTATCGCCCCGGGCCACGGCGCGACCTGCGAGGGGCGTGGCGCAGCCACAGGAACTCACTACACTTCGATTTTCCTAACTCTGCCCCTCAAGGCCTGTTCAGGCGGCGAAATAGTCGATGAAAAGTTGGAGAGCATTTTTGATGGAAATGGCAATGGAACATCGCCTCTTCTATCACAGTAGTTTTTGTCAGACGATAGTGTTCTGAAAAGAGATGACACACAATTGACAAGGATTGTTACTTGGAGAACAAATTAACGAGTTTTGAAGAAGTTGCCACAGTTACCTCTGTCCAAAAGAAAACTGACTGTTTCCTTACGAATTCCGTGGCTTTAGCTACGTGTTTCTACTACATCCAGTGCCTGGCACACTCTGGGTCGAACCTTGAAGACGTTCAAAACGCTTTTTACTCAGCTTTCCGCATTAACTTGTCGTAAGAAGGCGAGCCGGCGTCTGCGATAGAAAACTCCTGGTATTTCGGCAATGCCAATTTTTAGCGGGAATTTTTAGCTATCCAGGAGCTGGTGCGATCTTTCGGTGACGCTCCGAACTAATAGAAAGAAGTTGATAATCAACTCCAAAGTCCTTGCATGAAGAAATGAATATTTGGTCGGCAAGTTCGCGCGGCTTTTTGGCGAAAATTAAGTTATCTCGGAGGCGCCCAGTTTAAAATGTATAATCTTTTCCTTTGAAACGCCCTCAAAGAACATCAAACGCCCTGTTAAAGAAGACAAGGCGCCAAATTCGAAGTAATTTGGCCGACAATGTGTCAACAACGCCCAACTTCATAGTGGCATTTTATTACGTCTTTCTCGGTCGTCCTCGGTCTTCGCTAGATGCCGCATGATCTAGACCGTATGCAGCACTGCTAGACGTGCGCGATCATGCGACATCTAGCAGATCGATGGAGAAAGACGCGAAGCAGTGACATAACGCCACCGTGAAGTAGGGCCTTGAGGGGTTAAGTTAGAAAAATCGCAGTACATTTTTGTTTTGCCCATACGATACACTAAAATAGGGACAATGCATTTAGTCAGCTCAGGAGGTTTCGCATTCTCGCGATCGCATCTCTTGCCCTCTCTTCTTTTCATCTCCTCTTTTCTCCGCAGAGAGAACAATCGCCCAACTTTTGCACCTGTGTATTGGGAGGAATGCCAACTCGTGGTGCAGAGCGAAAATCACTTGTCTTTCAACATGGAGGTCCGTGTTCGATTCCTGGACATTCTCATGTGACATTTACTCCGACAAATCACTCTTGACTACTTCATAGGGGGTAGTCAACCTCGGTGAAGTGTTCTAAACCCTTCCACTATCCTAAACCCTTCCCGATTAAAAAATACCAACGCAGGAATCAACTGCTTTGGATATCCTCTTAAGGTATCACCAAGGATTGCACGCAATCTATATATTATTGCAACTGTTGGGGAGAAAGTGCACGCTCATTGCTACAGAATTAAGTGACTCATGTAAATGCGCTGATGTGCTATGTAAACTTGACGTTACATACTTTATCTGAGTATTCGAATAATTATATATTGTATATTCATTGAATGTATTTTGTTTTCCCTCGACAAATGTATTACATTCGGTGGAGAAAAAAATTCCGATATCACAATGTTCACTTTTTGTCTTTCGAAATGCTTTGAAACCTCTTTCGATCCCCTAGTTGCTGCAAGTGATGATGCAAAGACGATAAGAACATTGGATTGCCCCAGTTCTTAACAGCTGCTGTTAGTGCAGAGTCAAGCAAGATTAAGCAGTTTCTACTTGTCCTACTACCCCTCTAGAAGGGAATAAAAGGGAAGGAGACATACAAAATATTCTTCAAAATACATCAATAACGACTCGATGTATAAAAATTCAGTTTTGGAATTCGAAAATGTGACAATTGTGCAATTACCTCTACTTTTTTCTCGACAATTCCAAATCTGTCTCGAAAATAACAAATAATAGTTAAATTCTAAGCGTTAAATGATTGGGAAGTGTCTCTACATCAAAAGGAAGCCTTTTTCGTGATAACAAACAAGAGTTTTTCAAAAATCAACAATGTGCTGAATTCCATCTCAACATAAAGAAAACCCAACATGCATTACAAAGTTCTAGACGATATCAAGAATTGGGAATAGTATCAATAACAAATCAACGATAGAACAATCAATAAAAATAATCAAATTAAAAAAAATACTGAAAAAAGTCTAAAACGTAAAAAAATTTATAAGTGAACGAGAAGATGTAACAGAATATAGTGTTCCGTAAAACGTAATATACTTAACGCAATCAGATTGTTGTAAAGATATCAGTCACATTTGTCTATAACAAGGAAATTTGCATCGTGTATTATTAATAGGAAATTATTTTATTTTTTCTGTTAAGGTACACGAGATAAAAATGAATTTAGGAATGTTTAGTGATAAATTTGAGATAATCAAATTCTTGATCTCTTTTAGTCAGCAATTAGCCTTACTGCAGGTCTCATTCTATTATCTACTGACGTAAATTACGAAGGTATCATCAACGTGGTAATAAATATGTCCATTATTCTTTTAAGAATGGTAATCTAGTAATAATTAATGATAGAAATAATATAGGTTGTAGAAGTGTTCGAGGAGATAATTCCATAGATAGGCGTATGGGTTCACTTTTTTATCATTTAATTTTACAATTTGTGTTGAGTTATTTATGTATGACCTGAGTAAATTTAATGCATTATTCCTTACTCGCACTGAATTTAGTTTTTATAATAGAAATGACGACACTATTTAGCAAAATTTTTCCACTCCCTTTTGAAGAATATGAATAGTCAGATGTAATGACATGTGGGCATTAAAAACCATTCCAAAAAATAATCACATGTTGGCTTGCACGCTGTTCCAGCTATTGGTGGACCAGGTGATGATCCTGGAGACTATGACCCCGCTGGACTTCATGGAGTTCCGCAAGCACCTTTCTCCAGCTTCCGGTTTCCAGAGCCTACAGTTTCGTCTTCTGGAAAACAAGTTAGGCGTACGGCAGGTGAGAACTACTTGCATTAAAGAAAACATTTACCAATTAAACAAGTTATGGAAAATAAGCTAAAACATTTTCAACTATTATGGCAATTAACGTGTATATTCATTGAAATCGATGAATTGTTCACGGAATAGTCAAGTATTTGGAATATTTATTGAAAACAAATCAAACAATTGGAATTTAAACATGATTAAACAATAAGATTGAGAATTAAAAAATCTAGGATGCGAAATACTCACTCGCGTTGGAGGTTAAAATAACTTAATTTATGGATAAGATAGGTTTGGAATGTTGTTTATTTTTATGTGGTGAGCAGATATATCAAGTTTAAATAAATAATGAAATTTTTAAGAATCAAATAAACACTCCATATTACTAAACAGAGACGGCAAAGTAAGGTTTTGTGAAATTAACATACTTTTCATTTGATCGGAATTCTATGATTCTTAGAAATGTTTAAGAAAATGAGTTTCTTAGGGGTTTGTTGGGGAGAGATTATTATGTTGATGTGGGTTGAAGGAACAAGAGTACATATTCGTTTCCCCGACAATTCTTCCAAGTTGTAAGAGGGATATGTTAGTAACTACCTATATGCTAGTAGTACTAGTTGGTTTTTAAAGAGACAAGGATGGGAGAAAACTCTTATTTTGCATGTAATTAAGAAATGCATGTAGATATTTATTTTTATATTGAAAGAAATGTGTTTAATATTTTGGTTCATACCCATGATGAAATTGACCAAAAAATAACATCGCTCAGAAGAGGAACTTTCTCTTAACTCACCTCGTGTAACCGACAATAACTCTTAGCGCTCAAGTAGCGAGAATGTAAAACTTTTTAAATAGAGACTTTCTGCTTCCAATGAAATATCGATGAAACTTCCACATTGTGACGTCTCCACAATTATAATGGAAAAACCACACATAAGAAATAACGAACAAAACATACGCACAAATTTTTAAAAAAAGCTTTAACCCATAATAAATAACAAGTCATCTCACACTGAATGGCAGATTAGCCATATTTAAAACGATAATACGTTCCTCATTACCACAAATAATTCAAAACAAATACTCGAGAAAAGCCGTACAAGCCCCATAGTTTATTTCAAATAAACAAATACATACACAGCTAACAATTCCTTTTATTAATGAATACATACAACAGATGAGCAACAAATTTTACATCTTTCTTCAGTCTTGTAAAAGTACACAAATATTTAATCTAGGAAAACATGCTTTCATTCCAAACAGCATTATCTCCAGATACGCCAAAGACTCTCTTAAACCCCCATAAGTTTGTCAATCCATTCCTCCCATTAACCAGTGCTGCTGTCGAAAAGTTAAATAAATATCGAAACTTAAAAAAATCTCTTCGGAATTACTGCTCTGCACACTTTGTTTACAAGTTAGCATTGTAGCCCTCTTCAAATACTGTTAGCCGAAAGGCCAGAATTATGGTATTAATAAAATACACATTGAAAACCCCGAAGGGCATATTATGCAGAACAGTCAGAAAAAAATTAAAAAAGCCCTCTCTTTGAAGTAAATCAACACGCAACTGGTCGCTTCTCTTCGCCCGCACGTGAGTCATGTCACACTCTGGGAAGGGCAAGAGGTGCGCAGAGGTTGGTGAATGTTGCAATTTCACACTGTGAGCTGGCAGAAGCCCGGGGGCAGGGAAAAACCTGTCTCTCTTACCCCATCCTAACTTGACGCATGGAAGCTATTTCGTTTTGTTTTATTTGATCATGCAACTGGTTCCTTTTGTTCCTTATAAGAAGCATGTACGAGCCGCCACTGCTTAAAGTTGAACACGCAAAGGTTTATTTTGTATTTAAATAATTATTTATTTCATGACGTTTCGGAGCGTGGTTAAGCTCCATCATCAGACAAATTGCAAATATGTTTTGTATGCTAGCATGTACATTTATTTTACTCAGTAGTAGATATTGTATATCACCTCAATCCATGATGTAAAATCTGTTAATGCTAAAATATACATTATATTTATAATTTTTCTGATGATGGGGCCATCCATGCTCCAAAACGACAAGAAATAAAGAAGTTTCAAAACTCCGGTTTTGTTTTCACTGAATTAAATTAATTTAACTGGGTTAACTCTTTCGAACACGATGGTAAAAAAGGTCACTGTGCGCAATGCACCGGCCGCGCAAAATTTGAACAATCATATTTTCTCCGTATGTGTTGTTTCATGGTAGGATAATTTGTGAACCTTTAGCTGGCAGAATATGGTTCCCAGAAGCACCGGAAGATGTAGACACGATAAATGCTTACAGAACACCAAAAAAGTATTTTTTTTTACAAAACATTTTCTTGTCAGCTGTTGGTGTGCGCCAAGGTCCGAGCTGTGCAAAAAAAAAAAAAAAAAAAAAAAAAAAAAAAAAAAAAAAAATCACGAACTTCCTGTGCTTGAAAGAGTTAACGCGAGTGTTTGAGGGTAGGTGTCGGTGCGCAGGAGTACCGCGTCAAGTACAACCAGAACTACGCGGCGGTGTTCGGCGGCGACGCGGCGGCGGTCGAGGCGATCGAGCGCTCGGAGCGGGAGCCCGCGCTGGCCGAGCTGGTGCAGCGCTGGCTGGAGCGCACGCCGGGCCTCGAGGCCCACGACTTCGACTTCTGGGGCCGCTACCGCGCCGCCGTGCAGACCATGCTCGAGGACCAGCGCCGCGACGCCGAGGTACGTATGCACGCTTTCATTGGTTCGTTCGTTTGGGTTCCCGGCCGGCTCAGCTGATTGGTGGATAGACTGATTAGTGATTCCGGATGCATCAACTGCTAAGGTCATAAGGCGCGTAAGTGTGGTGCATGTTTTTTCCTAGCAGTACGCACGCTTTCATTGGTTCATTCATTTGTGCTTCGGGCCGCCAATGTCATTAGTCGCGTAAGTGTGGTGCATGTTTTTCTTAGTAGTATGCACGCTTTCATTGGTTCATTCGTTTGGGCTTCGAGCCGCCTCAGCTGATGTGGGCTTGTTCATTGATGGATTGACTGATTATAATTCCGGGCGCGTCTACTGCTAAGTTCATTAGTCGCGAAAGTGTGATGCATGTTTTTTCCTAGCAGTGCGCGCGCATTCATTGGTTCATTCGTTTGGGTTCCTGGCCGCCTCAGCTGATTGGTGGATAGACTGATTAGTGATTTGGGGCGCGTCAACTGCTAAGGTCCTTAGTCGCGTAAGTGTAGTGCATGTTGTTCCTCGCAGTACGCACGTTTTCATTGGATCATTCGTTTGGGCTTCCGGTTTCCTCAGTTGATGTGGTCGTTGGTCTCGTTGAGTGATGGGTAGACCGATCAGTGATTCCGGGCAGGTCAACTGCTAAGATCATAAGTCACGTAAGTCTGATGCATGTTTTTTCCGAGCCTTTCATTCGTTAATTTGTTTGCGCTCCCAGCCACCTCATCTGATTGGTGGATAGACTGAGTAGTGTTTACGGGCGCGTCAACTGCTAAGGTCATTAGGCACGTAAGTGTGGTGAATGTTTTTTCCTAGCAGTACGCACGCATTTATTGGTTCATTCGTTTGGGCTCCCAGCTGCCTCAGCTCATGTGATCGTTGTTCTCGTTGAGTGATGGATTGACTGATAAGTGATTCCGGGCAGGTCAACTGCTAAAGCCATTAGTCGCGTAAGTGTGGTGCATGTTTTTTCTTCGGAAGATAGTGGTGATCTTCCCCCGCAGGATGGTGACATCCGGACCCCTCGACATGTCAGTCAAAATTTCTCCGAGATAGTGTCATAGCGAGCACCTATGCAAACTTAAAAGAGAGAACGTTTTATCAATAAGGTACTTGACTATCACGTCCGGCTTGCGATGTTTCCTCAACCAGGTATCTCCCACCAGCGGGGAAACTCTTCAGATGAGAAAAGCTCTAAGCTTCCGAGCGGTCTCTCTGGACGTGCATTAGTGTAATGCATGTGTGTATGTAAGTAAGGGGTGAGGATAGGTCAAAAAAAAGAGAAAGAAACATCGCGCGCGATACGTGGCCCGTTTGTTAGGACACTGCTACGGCATTCGTCTGGTATTGATCAGAGAAACCACGGAAAACTACTGATCGGAGCAATATTGCAGGTATCTCCCTCAGTGGGGAACCTTTCAGCCAGGAAGTGCCCTGAGCACTAATGTGTGTGATGGGTACTCCGTGATAGTGTATGTGTAAAGCAAGAGGAGAGGACAAGGATCTACAATGAAATATCAATGAACCATTTAAGATATGGTACTACTCTGATTTTCGCCTACGTTTGACTGGAGAACCTAAGGGGAACAACCAAACACTGCATCCGGCAGTTAGAACTCTTCTCCAGACAGCGACTAACCTATTAATCGTCTGTCGACTATCAAGTCGTCTGCCAGTCTTCTGACGGTTGTCAGTCGTCTGATAGTCGTCTATCAAGTCGTCTGTCCTATTTAGTTCCTTTCTAACATCCTCCACCGTCCCTCAGTGGGGAACCTTTCAGCCAGGAAGTGCCCTGAGCACTAATGTGTGTGATGGGTAGTCGGTGATAATGTATGTGTAAAGCAAGAGGAGAGGAGAAGGATGTACAATGAAATATCAATGAACCATTTAAGATATGGTACTACTCTGATTTTCGCCTACTTTTCACTGGAGAACCTAAGGGGAACAAACAAACACTGCATCCGGCAGTTAGAACTCTTCTCCAGACAGCGACTAACCTATTAATCGTCTGTCGACTATCAAGTCGTCTGCCAGTCTTCTGACGGTTGTCAGTCGTCTGATAGTCGTCTATCAAGTCGTCTGTCCTATTTAGTTCCTTTCTAAGATCCTCCACCGTCGGGGCTCGAAGCCTGGCCCCTGATAGTTGCCGCTGCAGTGACAACAGTCGTGGTCCTGAGCCCTCTCAGCCACTGATACGGACGAACCTGGAGATGTGTGGTTGGGCACAGTGGACGTGAAATCCACTGGAGGTGTTGACATGTAAGACCAGACGGAGGAAGCTAAAGATTGAGGGAAGAGTTCAGGAGACACAAAATGGATGACAAGATTGAGATTAATACGAATGTAACGGGACGGGGCAAGAAGTAGGTGGCGAGTCGGGTACAATAAGAGGCACCGACACACTGTTGATAGTTGTATATCACACGAGAACAGAAAATATTTTTAGAATATATAATAACTTTTACCTAGAGTTACAACATTCATTCTTCAATGGATCACTCGTAAGAGTTTCACCCATTCGTTGCGCCCATGTTAATATCTATTACTCAAAGTTCTTGCAATATCATCGTTCCCTCTAGTATCACTGTCACGCCCACGTCAAATTTCATCCAGGAAATTCACTAGACAAAGCTGTTCAGGAATATTCCCTTCCCGTTCACGTGCTTGCTGGTTTCCCGACAAATTCCAAGAAAAGCGTCCATAACATGCAAGTTACGACACTTGCAGCTTCCATGACCAGCTACGTGCGTCCTCTTTGAGGTTTGCCGTGCGACGCCGTGAGCTCATCATTCACGACCGTTTTTCTCTTTCCGTTGCGGCTTCCGCTTCCTGTCTCAGATATCTCGAAATGGACAGCTTTACTCTAGGAATACAACTTTGATATACCCTTTATGATGCTCTTTCGATTTTCCTTAGCAAATAATAATAATATTAACAGTAGCAGTAATCATGCATAAACTCTTTCGAATAAGAAAATTTCCATAATTGTTTTTCTCACTGACCGTGACCTTGTCGAATTTACGAATTCAAATTAAATTACTTAACTTTTTCCCAATTATCATTTCAAATGTTTGAAAAATATGTTACTTTAAAAGCTAAATTTTGCAGTAAAAAGGACAAATAAAATAATATTTATATGTAAAGATAAATATCTCTGATCTTCATTTCAATTGCTTTCTTATTAAAATTCTTATTTGTCAAGTTACTGAACATGAAATAAATAAAACAAATAAAATGGTTAAAACAAATAGTTAAATTAATACATAATTGTAAATCAGCATGTAACATTTATTAAAGGAAATGTATTCAATGAGATGAATCAGTACCACGTGAATATTCGAGTACTGTTTTAATAAGACGACCCCCCTTCCTTCCATGGAGCGCTTAGTTATGCTAGAGCTGACCCAAACTAATACAAAATTCATACATGACTTGATTTACAACATCAATAGAAACTTTGTGAAATAATGAATAAAGTTAAATTAAAATAATAAATAAAATAAAGAATTTGAAGGTGCTCACAACTGCTAATCATGTTTAACACCCAGTGGAAACATAAACATTTTATTATATTTCAATATGGTATATGGGTCAAATTATAGTTACTTAGTGATGCATTGGAAGAAGCTCTTTGGCAAAAATGTTGCAGTGTTTTGGAAAGTGTGAACTATTCCTTCCCGACTATGATGAAGGTTTCAGACGGTACCTTCTACCTTCAGAATGGTCAATCCTCGCCCACCCCTTCAACATCCTTGCTTTGCGTTTTCATCCTTGAAACATGAGTAAGTAGCCCCTTTAGTATATAAGCTGCAACACGACACCTATTAAGAAATGGTAAGGTACAATAAAAATAGGTAATATTTGTCTAGTTCAATTATGACAAAGTGGTAAATATAAATTGAATAATTTCTATATTAGTAGATGGATGCAGGTGATTAGATCTCGAGACAAAAGAAAATAGAAAATTAATACGAGAAAATCTGTGCCATTTGTAGCGCCACTAGCTCTATTATATGATATAGATGTCTAGGACTGAAGGAAGTCGACAATATTTCACAAAATAGGTCTCAAGCCTCTTATACTTTTTCTTTTTATTACATTTCCTTATCTTTTCCTCTTATTCTTTTTAAACATTTTATTTGTCGAGTACTTGTTACTGCGCAGTTGCCAGGCTCATGGAAGAGATCCATGCCCTATTCTTTCGGTGTTTCGGGCACACTGTAATTTCGTGAAATGTCACAGCGTCCAACGATCCCTCGCTTGGCACCTAGAGAGAGACCTTACTCCGTCAACACTGTTTGCGGTTGCGTCGGACACACTCCAAACGTGGAAGTCGCCGTAGCACCGCTTGTCAGGCGGAGTAAGAAAGAGATATGAGGTGACACACGCCTTTTGGAGAACAGTCGAAGACAATTTCCATACACGTAGCACTGTACTAAATTACAGCGAGAATTCGGATTCCAATTCATAACTAGAAGACTAAGGACAGAACGCGTGGTTTCTTTATCGATACATTTTGGACGTTCCTCCAATTTTTTGTTGTGTTTCTCTTTTTTTATTTTTCCTGCACTTTTACCAAAGTAATTTTGAAGCATTTTTGGGAGGGGGCATGAGCCTCTAGATCTGCCTTTGCGATTACGTTAGTAACATATCTAACGGCTTGAGTTAAGCATCTGAATTTGTTTTGATAAAAAAATACAGCATTTTTGTTTGCTTTTAGAGTATTTTAAAAACATTTTAAAAGTATTTTATTGATCATTTTTGGCGATGTTTTAGGTCATCAAAATCCTATCCCTAGTTATATTTCCCCAGAATGCTATATAAATTCCCGACTGTGAGTTGAGTATAATCGGTAAATAGAGATAGTTTTGTATTAAAACTGTTTGCGTTGAATGTATGGTATTACTAATTATATAGAATGACGTAGGCTAAACTCAGCTCATGCTGTGATACGATAATACTCGTTTCAAAGAATATCCTAATGGAGGGAGTTTCCCTCATTCCTCCCTTGTGGATATGCGCCAAAATTAAAATGGATAAGTGTAGCCGAGAGATTTGATGAAATTAAAAACGAACTTATCATTTAAGTTCGACTCGAAAGTGAAGGTGAAACGGAATTGATTCCTTAACTCTACCTTAAAATCCATAAGACGTACTTCGAATTTTAAGTAATGGTGGTGAAAGTGGCCGTTACATGCACTGCGCTACCACACATACCGGAAGACCACTCGGGAGTGGTCTTCCGATTGTGTGCTGCCTGAGACACTGCCACTCTGGTGACAGATACCTGGTTGGGGAAATCCAGCAAACTGCCGTGTAGGTCGTCGCCGGATGTCACCATCGAGCGGGGTAAGATCACCACCACCTCCCGTGATAAAAACAAGTACTACATTTACGGGACTAACGACCCTAGCGGTTGAGGCACCCAGAATCCCTAAACAATTAATAAACTGCCATGACTCTGGTCCCGTAAGTGTACTTTACGTGTACATATTGGAAGGAGGGGGTGTGCCTCCCTCCTGGATGTCGAGAGTCCATTAGGGAGCTCTGAGATTCTTCCGTTTGAGGCTGTGCTCCATTGCGATATATAACTGTAACTCTCCACAAGTTGATTATTCCGCCACTCATATGTTTTGACTGCAAAAAACATGGCGGACTCTTCTTCTGGAAGCATCCGCTAAGAGCGCTGAAACCATAGGGTCACCCCACGAAGGTTATAACCAACGAGCTAGAATATACTATATCGAGTGGCTGAAGCGCCTCAATCTTTGTAACAAACTGAAGCCATGTTTTTGCGGTCAAAGCAGAGCCCTCTGGGAAACAAAATATTCTAGCATTACGTTCTAGCATACGTGGTTACGGACGGTTACACACTGGTTACACCAAACCCTCGTATGTTTTGACTTCAAAAACTAGTGGCATGGCGGCCACTAGTTCGGCAGGCCTCCACTAAGAGCGCTGAAACTATAGGGACAGACACTCTATGTAGTATATTCTAGCTCGTGGGCGTGCTCGTAATGGCGGGTCCACACATTCGGCATTCGCCGAGCAGCGAGCTACTGTCCGCCCAATCCCGCACAGCTGATGTGTTCGGCGATTGTTCGCTCCCTTTGATGTGTCCTAAAGACCGACGCGCGGTGGGAAAAGGCGGTTCCACACATTCGGCATTCGCCGAGCAGCGAGCTATTGCTCGCCCAATTCCGTACAGCTGATGACTTCGGTGAAGTTTGCTTTGATGTGTCGAAAACGCCGGCACGCTGTGTGTAAAGGCGGCTCAACACATTCGGCATTCGCCAAGCAGCGAGCTACCGCTCGCCCAATCCCGAACAGCTGATGTGTTCGGAGAATGTTCGCTCCTTTTAATGTGTCCCAAAGACCGACACGCGGGGTAGGGTGACTACCGAACGTTCGGCGCTCGGCGAATCGCAAGCAACTCGTCGGCGCGACTTGGGATTGTGCGAGCGTTTGCTGGGGATTGGCCGCGTGTGCGGAGCCGCCTCAAGCGTGGCGGCGCGCGTGTTGTGCAGGCGCAGGCGACGGCGGCGGGGCGCGCGCGCGCGCTGGCCGACTGGCAGCGGCGCGCCGCCGAGCTGCGCTCCGTGCTGAGCCCCGAGGCGCACGCGGCGCTGGTGTCGCGCGGCGAGCGGCGCTTCTCGCTGCGCGCGCTGCAGGGCGCCGTGCTCATCACGCTGTACAGCGACCAGCCGCGCTTCTCGCAGCCGCACCAGCTGCTCACCACGCTCACCGACATCGACTCGCTCATCACCAAGTGGAGAGGATAGAGTCCAGAAACACCTTTGTAGCGGTCGCTGCAGCGTCGAGCGCCAAGTACTGTAGCCCCGACGAACCTCCCCGGTACCCAGCTGCGCCGCAAGCTCGCGACTCATGCACAAAGTCGTAGCCCACCAGCAGCACGTGGTTCGCTGCCAACACGCGGTGCAACACGTGCCACTACTATATATACTATATATCCTATGGTAATATATTTATAGCCTTATATATATATAATATATATATAGAGAGAGAGAGAACTTAGGATGGATAGAGAGAGATGAGACGAGAGAGGGAGAATTGATTCTGCCTAATATTATCATATGGACGTGAGTACATCGGGGACCA